CCCCCCCACCCTCCCCTCGTTCACTCCCTGCGCAGGCTCTTTGCATTCCTGTCTCTCGTCTTCGGCACACTGTTACCCCTCATGTCACTCGCCTCTCCTCGGCCGAGCGACTCGACCACACTCAAGGCTCGCCTTCGAGTCATCCTCCTCTCTATATTACCATCGTATCCTTCGGAGACGTCTGCAAATGACTCAGACTCTCTTCGAGGCAAAGGCCTATCTCTCAGGACTTTCTGGACCCTGGCATCTTTGACATATGCCCTCCTTATGTCTCTGACATTCTTCGTCTCGACGCCAGACCAAGCCATACTCTTGGTGGGCGCAGTAGGCATCTCCTGGGCTATCGCCAGCTGGGTTCCCTATGCGCTCGTCATGGCCTTTGTTAAGGATGCCGAAGAGGGCAACAGCCGCTATGAATTCGAAGGTGACTTCTACTCCCCTGGTCGCACTCGGGAGAGAAGGCGGAGCCGAAGAGAGTCGGCAAGCTTCCTTCGCTCACCCGTAGAGACTGTTGAGCCAGAGGTGGAAGGTCCACAGGTGGAGGGCAGTCCAGCTCGAAAGCAGCTGGTGGAGGCCTTGGGCGAGTGTGGAAAGCCTCTCTGGGGTGGTAATGGGGAGGCAAGTAGGCGAAGCACGAGCAATGCTTCCGGCTCGACGATCCGCAATGCAAATACATCGGCTGCATCGATGCAGCAAGATCGATCGAGACGAAGCAGTCGCCTAGGGAGCGGCTCGTACATTGCCCGCGGGGCGGACGTGGTCAGAGAGCAACCACTTGGCAGCGGTTCGGCATCCTCACCTGGCAGGGGTGAGACTGATGGTCGAAGGAGCATCTTGGAAGCTGGACAAGACGGTGGCTCTGCCGTCAATGGTGGGGGCGTTGATGGCGATGAGCCGACCAAGGGAGGGACCATCTTGGGTATACATAACGTTGCGTAAGTCATCTGACTGCGAATGCGAAAGGCGTTGAAATCGTCAACTGAACAATCCTCCTCTATCGCACCACAGCATCGTCCTTCCGCAATTCGTCGTGTCGGTCATCTCCTCGCTCATCTTCAAGCACTTTGATTCGTCCAGTCCATCCCCTGTCTCTCTGTCGATGGACATTGCCTCTTCGGAAGCTCAAGAAGGTGCTGCTCCTGGTGTGGCGTGGGTGCTACGCTTTGGTGGTCTGGCCTCCCTCGTCGCGGCATTGTTGACACGGTTTGTCCCGCTGACCAAGGCGGAGAGGAAGAATCGATATGGACCAGAGGACGAGGATGAGGAAGACTACGAGGAGGGCGACGGGACGATTGGTGAAGGGGAAGAAGGTAGAGCATAGATATCCCATGCCATTGTTCCTCTGTTCAATTACTCGCCATCATGTCATGATCTTAACGTAGGCCAGCTATTCATCGTAGACGATTTCCATGCACGCAAGGTACTGGGAAATGAGGGTGATCTGATCGCAAGGATGGAGGAGCACGTGGCGGCGGATTGGCACAGCCGAGGCGAGATTGTGGAGCCTTGGCTGCGATTCACGCTTCCGCAACGGCAGTCGGTACCGATCCACCTTTGGTCTGAGCCGGCGCAACACACACACTTCGCCCTCGTCGACGATGGTGGAGAAGAGCAGCCAGATCAACGACGACGATGCCGCAGCGGTAAAGTATGCTACGACTTCCACCTCATCCGCGTCCAAGACTGCCCCTCGCATTCCACCTCGGCCAAGCTCATCGGCAGGTGCGAGAGGAGCAGAGGACGAGGGGGAAGGTCAAGCTGCACCTCAGGCACGAGATGACATCGCAGCCTCTTCATCTACACCTGCTGGCGATGATGACGACGGTACTCCAACTGCCACTGTCACTGCCTCGACCTCGACCTCGACCTCGACTTCGGCTCCTGCTCGCTCTGCCTTCCTGCGCTCCGCCTCGATCCCTACGCTGGACGTACGCCCACCCAAGCTTACCCCACGGTGGCTCTTTGCAGAAGGAAAGTACTGGACTGCATTCGGCATTGCTGATTCCGCACGACTCGAGGAGGCTCTGGTCAAATGGAAGGGAGAGATGGCCAAGGAGGACAGAGTGGAAGAGCCAAAGGAGGAAGCACACAAAGATAACAAGTCGAAGCCGACCCCACTGCCACTGCCAGAAGCAGATCCCACCCAGCCTCTACCCTCTTGGCGTGTGCCCGTAGGCGCAGATCGACTGTACGAAGTAGACCTTCGTCCTTCGCCACATCTGATGCATCCCGTCTTCTGGAAGGCGCCTTCCTCGCACGTACGGCGCGGATCTTGGTTCTTCGAGAGCAGCCGCATCGTACCTTGCGATCTAGAGTTGACTGCAGAGCTCACACGGCTCTACGAACAAATCAGACCATGGACCAAAGCGTACGCGGAAGAATTGCGGATATCTGCCGGCATCGGAGCAGAGGGCGAGGAGAAACTCAAGTGCCCCCTGGCCAGCCTCAAGGGTTCGTACGTCATCTTCTCTGGCAGCCACATCGCCAGAATATATCAGGAGGGAGTCAGTACAAGACTGGCAAAGACGCTGCTCACTGCTTGGGCAGGAGAGCATGGAGGTGGTACCGTCGTCATCCGAGGCTGGGATCAGGCTCAGAAGCTCATGCGAGCTAGAAGGGGAGATTTGACAAAGAAGAAGGCCAACAAGAACAGTGCCAGTCACGGCAGGTCAGTATCCATGTCGAAGAAGGCGGACTCTTCCTCGGCAGACGGCAGTGAGACACCCAAGCAACACGCCAAGGGAGACGAATCCCCGATGCCTGCTGGCAGTGCTCAGCCGCCAAACAAAGAAGGCGAAAGTGCAGAAGGGTCTCCGGCCCGCAAGCCGACGTCGACCGCGTCCACCTCCGCTCAACAAGCAGATCTCTGGTCTTCGCTGACTTCTCGACTCGGATCTTGGGGCTACTCGGGCTCTTCCTCGTCTCAGCTCACCGAGAAACAAAGGGCGGATGTTGCCGAGTCATTCAAAGAGGCTCAGGCAAGGATACAAGAGACCAGACACGAGGCAGATACAGAGTCACGTAACAAGAGCAAAGTAGACCCTTCCCCTCTGAGAGCAAACATCACTGCCGATACTGCCCGTGAAGATGCGACTGCAGACGAAGAGTCGGGTGACGAAGATGAAGAGTGGGAGAGGGAAAAGCAGCACGAGGAGGAAGACATCGAGCTCATCCTCTGCTGGCACGGCATCGGTCAGAAGTTGGCAGATGAGTGGAAGAAGCTGGAATTCTCCATTTCCGTCATCGGCTTCCAGTCGCTTGTTCGCTCTCGCGCCAAGACTGCAGCGCCCATCCATATCGGAGGACCAGGTTTCGCGGGTCTCGCCAAGGGAAAGAGACTTGTCTTCTTGCCCATCAATTGGCGGGCAACGCTCAACGACTTCCAGCCCACAAAGGAGAAAGAGGACGACGACATCGATGATGACGAGCATCTCAACAATCAGGTCGGACTAGATGACATCTTCGGCACCAACGACTCTATCCCTCTGGCAAGACAAGTGACCAAAAACCTGCTCTTAGACATCCCTCTCTTCCTCAGCCATCATCGTCATGAGGTTTTGCGACGTTGTGTCGCTGAAACCAATCGAGCCTACGCCCTCTACTGCCAACGTAATCCTTCCTTTGTCTCACGGGCTAAAGAGAAGGGCTCTCAGCCGAAAGTGTCCATGATCTGCCACTCCTTGGGGGCGGCACTTGCCATCGATATACTCTCTGCTCAACCTACCCGGGTGGAACCATATCTCTCTGCAAAGGAGATGCTTGCCTCACCTCACTTGGCGTACAATACTCGCTCACTCTACCTCGTAGGCTCTCCTGCCGCCCTCTTCTACTACCTGCAGTCTCGACAGCTCATTGCGCGCAAAGGTCGAGAGCTGACCAAGGGTGCTCGCAAGGACGAGGCTCTGGATCGACCCGATGGAGGGCAGTGGGGCTGCTTAAGCGCAGACAGGGTGTGGAATATCTTTAACTCCACTGATCCAATCGGGACCTGCCTGAACGGATGCGTCGATGCCAAGTACGCAAGTAAGATGCCGGCTCTGGCGACGGACAAGGTGGTCAATGGTCTCCTCTCGACGTTGCCCGGCTCCTCTCCAGATGTGTATAGGAAGACACCGGCCACTGCTGCTACCACAAACGAAGGCCTCACGCCTTCGAGCTCGTCAAGTGGCTTGAATGGTAAAGAAAGTGGCGTCAAGTCGAAGGGAGCTGGCACGCCCTCAGCAAATGCCAATGGTCCTGCGGCATCAGCCCGTAGCTTCCTGGACACCTGGTCGAAGCGTCTCCCTGGTCCTGCTACGTCCTCTCCCTCGCGCCAGGCGAGCGATCACGAAGGTGGTGACACTGACGACATCACATCAGACGATGATGACGCAGCGACAGGCTCAGCGCGACGCACTCTGAAAAAGAAGAGCGCGCGTAGCTCAAGGGCGTCGACTGGGCGAAGGAAGAGTGGCGAGACGGACCCCTGGGCAGTGAAGTGGAGCAAGAAGCAGGAGGCGAATAAGGCGGCGGCCAGGACTTTGCAGGAGCAAGAGCGGGGGCGAGAAGAGAAGGGAAGTGGAGAAGGATTGAGCAAGAAGGATGATGGCGCTGCTCAGGGCAAGGGTGAGGAAGGCGATGACGTTCTCCCCAAGAATACCGACGAGGAAGACCATGACTACCCGCCTACTCTTTCAGCTGACTCTGCGGACGCCAGAAAGCGTACTACCGACGGCAGTGCTGATGACGAAGCAGCGCGTGAAGGAGCTGAGATGACAGAGGCCGATGCAGCTGCCTCTGCTCGAGCCTCAACGGACGGTACATCTGACAGTCTAGCCCAACAAGCGACGGCCGCCCTTGCTGCTGCCATCACTGGTGCGACTTCATCCTCTTCAGCGCCAACGGGCACCGAGAGTCAAGAAGCTGCGGAAGAAGCAGGCAAGACGGTGAGCCAATCCGCTGCTGCTGCCGAAAAGGGTGAAGACGCAACGGCTCTAGAGGGTCAAAGCGAAAGTGCTGCTTCGTCGGCAGAGGACAAGCCCGCGAGCAAAAGCAGCGACTCCCGCTCGCATACAAGGGCCACCTCTCGCTTCCTCGCCCTCAATCCCCTCGGTCGCATAGACTATGTTCTCCCGCGCGTCGCCGGCTCCTTCGACTTCGTCCTCTCTCCCGCAGGTCAGCTCCTCGAGTATCTCGGCATGCTGCAGGCTCACGCCGCTTATTGGTCCAATGAAAGTTTTGCGGACTTGGTATTGGCGAGCTCGGCGGCTGTGCTGGAGACGGAGGGAGGAAGTGAGGGTAGGGCTGCGGGTGAAGAAAGAAAGGAAGATGAGGGAGAGGAAAGGTGGAGGCGGGTCAGAAGACGGATGTTCGGTGAGCAGGATGTACCTACTTTATAGATGGACGGGGACCTGGCATGCGTCGCTTCGTCTCCTTTACAGATGACCGCAATTCCACGGCTTTCCTCTGTGATCTCTGCTAGAGTCATCGTTTCTTGCGTTCAGCAAACATCACAGCAGAGCACAGTTATGAGCGAGCAAAGAACGTGCTAATTACAAGGATAGGGTGACGATGGAGCAGACAGAGCACTTTAGCAACAGGGCTTGTCAGGGTGTGTCGCCCACCAGGGGCGCGGACACGGGATATCAATGATGGTGTGCTTTGGTTTGACAAGGGTGCGATGATCTGATGGGACTGGAGACTAGATCGCCCGGTGACTAGGACATGACCATCGAGCTGTCTGCTTCGTGTGAGCCAGCGAAGAGCTGAGCAAAAGTGGAGCGCAGAGGAAGTCAATACAATCGTCAGCGGAACATGTACCTTTCGCTGTTGACTGTCGGGGATCACTCACTCCTTGGAGATATGCAGCATAGTCGTAGAGCTTGCCCTCCTCCGCCTGCCCACCGTCATGACCATTACCGTTCTGCGAAGGGATGCCAAACTCCCTCCTCGACTCTTCGTCCAGCAAAGGCATCTCTGCTTTGAAGTGCTCAATGGAAGAGGCGGGCAGGAGCGCCATGCGCAAGTCTAGCTCGGTGAGATAAGGCTTATCTGCAGCCAGTCCTTGGAAAGCCTCGAGCAGCTGGTCTGGACTGGTAGTGTCCTCTGTGATCTCGCGCAGGAAGCTCAAGAAGGCTTCGTAGGAAATCTCGCCGAATTCATCTTCGAGCTGATGGTGGATCTGCTCTACGTCTTCATCGGTGTATACCATCCCCAGGGAGGCCATCGCTGCGCTCAGCTCCGAAAGAGTCAGTGCGTTTGTACAATCTTTGTCAAAGTACCTGTAGGTGGCCTCAAATTCTTCCAGCTGAGCGGGCGTGAGGTTTGTGTGTTGCCGCGAGATGATCTATCAATGACGTCGAGGTGGCGTACCAAGTCAGCGCACAGTGACCTGCAACACATCTCGCATCATCACATCGTTCTCTCACCTGGTTGTCAATGAAGGTCCCTTTGCTGATTACAGCTTTCTTAACGAGCTCGAGCTCGAACTTCAGATCTTCCAGATTGAAGATGGTATGGTCGTTCTCTTCCACGTTGGCTTCGATGCAAAGCCTGTCCAGCTCCTCGATCTCGCCCACCTTTCCACCCACAATCTCGACCTTTGTCAACAATTCGCCTACGATGGCCCTCTGCTTCTCCAGCTCTCCCTTGAGCCGAGCAATGCCGCTCGAGATACCTCGGAGCTCCTCTTCGAACGAGTTGGCCGCGGCCGCGAAGGTGACTCTCAATGCCTCTTTGGCCTCTCGTATAGCACCGTTGATCATCCTAGTCCTTGCGACCTCATCTTCAGCAAGGGACCGCCATACCTGGTCCAAGTCGCGCTGCCTCAGGCCCTCACGAGGTTTCCATTCCCTCAGGTTGTACGTCTTGAGCTTCGTCTGAATATTCCCCAGTAGCGCAGTGAGGTCTGTCCGCTCTTGTACCCAAATGCGCTTCTGCGTCGACTTGTAGCTGTTGAATTCGGTTAAGAAGGATCGAGCAGATGCATAGCTTCCCCGAGGGCGGGAATTGCGCCAGCTCTCTTGCATAGCAGTCACTCCATCGAATAACTGGTCAATCACAAAGCGAGAACAGATCAGACTTCACCTGTTGCGTTGAAGTGCTCAAGCACCTACTCACCTTCTGCGCCCGAGCTTCGTACTCGTTCTTCATCAACCATGCGCTCTGCATCACCTCCGCAAAGGTAGCGACTCGCCGACTGACCACTTCTGCCTGCTCCATGGTGCTGAAAGCGTGGAAATACTGCGCCACGTAGGTCATCACACTCCTCTCATCGGGTTTCTTGGCATCGCAAAGATCTTCGACGTCCAGGAGTTGTGGAATGCCGAGATGCTCTTGAGCGACTTGAAAAGCCAGAGAGGTACAGGCGTGAGCATCTGTTTTGGGAAGGGTCTCGTAATTGAGCAAGTCCGGGCGATGGCGGTGGATGAGGGCGCAGAGCGCTAATCCGGATTTCCAGGAATGGGAGAAATCGTTGACCGACACGTCGTCGTAGGGAGCAGTCTTGCGTTGACACCAGAGCAGAAGACCTTCCTTGGCATTGACTCCCTCCTCGCTGATGTCCGCAATGGTAAATCGAAGGATCAGAGTCCAAACCATGCCCAAGATCAGCTTGAGGTTGCCGTCGATGATGTCTTCTGCTCCGACATTGGTGAGCACGACTCCGCGCCCTCTGATGAAATCAAGAGCTTTGTTGACATTCTCTGCCATCTGCACTCTCATGCGTGGGTTCTGGTAATAGCGACCGAGGGACGTGTCGCCCATGGTCTCCATGAGCTGAATGAGACGCACGCCGTTGGACAGGTCGGTGGACAGAGAATGCATGGGAGCGTGGCCGCCTTGTTGAAGTTTCGTGTTGAGCCTGTATCAGAGGCATCAAGAGATCGAAAGGCGGTGGGATAGTTCAGAGTACTGCGTCAGACGTTGCCGAGGCCAGAGGCGGGGACTTGGTGTCCTGGCTGAAGTGAGAGCGTTCTCTCCCCTAAATTCGGCAGATCTAGCGCTCTAGGATTACTCACCACTTTGTAAAGGTTTTGGCTTGCACCTGTTCCCATTCCCGATCCTGCTCCGGCAGCCCATACATGACGGAAGAGCGCTTGTAGGCCATGTTGTTGTGCTAGCCGCGAGAGAGGAGGTCCTGGATGGGCGTCCGTATAATACAACGCCAGTCTAGATGAAGCAGAAGATGCGTTGATATGACCTGAGAGTTTGACTGAGCAAATATGCGCTGGCCGTCGAGGATGACAGTGGGTATATGCAGCAGCGTGTAGCACAATACGAAGGAGCAACCTCCTAAGTCCTAGTGCTGAAGGGGAGAAGCACAGGGAATGTCTCTTGCTGCGCCTCGGTGGTACGTATAGCAGGACTCCAGCAGTGACTCTCGAGGGATGACGATTCCGACTCTATAGTGCCTAGCAGGATGTGGTACGATGTAGAGGTGATGAATGGCGACGATGATTGTGATTCAACGGAAGGAAGCGAGGTCCATCCATCGTTAGGTACAAGGCCCTGTGTCACTCTCGATTTCACTCTCCGCCCCTCCGCTCCACTCGGCAAATTGGCCTCGATGCGCACCGCATCTCAATCAACACGCCGGCGCGGGAGACCAACACCATCGCAACACAGGCAGAGCGGTAGAGAGACGATGGCGTGGGAGACTGCGTATCGTTGTCAGGAGAAGAACAGGCACGTGCTGTGTGAAATTGAGAGCCATTGAGCAACGCACAGGCATACGTGAGACTATGACGCGGTCCACTTGTGCTGCTTGTACGTCCGAATTTGGGGGGCTCAGCCAGGCTGATACCTTAGACCGGCCTTTTGCATCGAGCATCGTGTACTACGAACAGCGATCTCCACTGTTGCATACTTTCAGCTTTCCCGAGATCATCGACACCTTTCCGAGCTTCTGTAACGCTAGTGCACGCATGCTCTCCGTATGCAGACCCCCGTTGCCTCTGACTCTGAACAACGACTGTCGGTCACCTGTGCCACGTCGCTTTGCCTGCAGTGCTCTTGCCTCACCTTTGCGTATTATCACCTCCGCGGACCACTACTGTCCACCAAAAGCTTCTGCAACCCTGATTGAAGCAAACGTACAGCTTCCTATCCATCAGCGCCTCAAGCTGATCGATGGTTCATTCAATTCTACACACTCGGCCCGTGGAGATACAACCGGCCCCTGATAGACTTGCCACCGGGCGTGCTACCACAAGTCTTTGTCAATGCTTGCTCCGGGACGGTACTTCGACTACACCATGACGTCTCAAGTACCGATGATTCCGCAACTGTGGTCCAGATGGCCATGGCTGCACTCAAAGAATCCACGTGAGCCAGCATCCGAGCGGATCCGAAACGCGTCTTTGAGCGGATAGCATACGGCCGATATAGCATCCGAGGAGGCGGAAGCAGCTTCGCGTTGCACAGGGCAGCTGGAAGGAAGTACAAAAAGGCCCCCAAGACAGGCCTTTCAACAGGTCAGGAATGCCAACAATCCCCAGAGGTTCATTGTTCTACAGACAAGATGAGCACTTCTAGTGAAGAAGACTCATTGACGGCCACGGCGCCTAGACTCTATCGACTGCAGAACCTAGAGTTGGCCAGCGTCTTCATCCACCGCATGAGCACTGCCCAAGCGCCACTAGGGGCTCTCTCTTTGGCCGCTACCCTGACTTCCTGTCATTTCAGAGAGGTCTTAGACGACTCCGAGGTAGGTCTATAGCAAGGACCTATCAAGACCTGTGATATACACAGTCAGTGCCGGTAAGCTCACTCATCCTGCTGCGTGTCTTACCATTCAGGTGAAATCACTTCTTCAAGAGGACGAGGTACGGGTCTCGCACATGTCACATATCACAAACTGTCTACGAAGGGAAGGTAAGAAGGCTCCAGACGGCAGCAGTGCAGCGCTATCTGCCGCTATGAGGCTGCGAGCTGGCGCAGCGGGGTGCTACGGCAAGACAAAGTCACACTGGCTTGACTTTGCACAGGACATGCTGGCTGATTTGAGGTACAGTGACGTGCTGCAGTACTCGTGAGTCACCTTTCATCAGCGATAGCACAGACCTCACTTATCTCTGACGCTCGCCTTTGGGTTCGATGGTCACTGGCAGGAAGTATGACGAGCCCTGGGACGAAGCATGGGGTGTCTTCATGGCAGAGACGTATCCCCTCTCCACACCACAACCAGACTACGGCTTCGGTCTCCGCTCTCAACCACCCTGCTCTGTCAATGGACCCAATGGGCAGTCCACCCCTCCCGCACTGAGTCAAGAGTCTCTCTGGCCACTCAAGCTACAGCTCACCACTCCACCGTGCCCCTCACCAGACCTCCCAGAGATCATCTACCCCTGCCTCATCGTCCAAGTAGGATCTCAAGTCGATCCTCTCTTCTTCACCCAGAACCACGCTGCGGGCGCGGCCGTCAAGGCACTATCGATGATCGAAAGCCTCGAGGGGTGCTACCGAAAGACAGTCAAGAAAGAGAAGGAGGATGAGGAGGAGACTCACCGTGGCCCTTTGCCTGTCCTGGCCATTTGCACCCAAGGCGCAATGTGGGAATTCTCCATCGCTTTCCGTCTGCATGAGAAGGAAAGCAGTCCCTCCAATGGCAAACATCCAATGCCTGGTGTGGTGAGTACCAGGGAAGACCTCGACGCTCGAAGATCCCGTCATATCATCTCACTCCATCACCTCCCCATCTTGCTCTCCTCTCTCCTCCAGCACCTCGTACGCATCTGGAATGGCAACGTCGATGAAGCCTCCGGTCTTTACCAAGCGCAATTTCTTCTGCAGCGCACCTTGCTCTGGATCAAGACCGTCTATCGACCAAGGATCGAAGCGATGCTCAATGCCATTCGACAGACGTTGTAGACTCTCGCTCGCCGTATCCTGCAGTGGGGATGGAGAGGAAGAGGTTCGAGCTAGCTGAACGCTCTACGTCCCCAGAGGTCTGCAGCTGTGTTTAGGCGCACCAGCTGCGATGTGATCTTCCACGCAGAGGCATCTGGACCATGCCGTTCGATCCTGATTCTTCACAACTTCCCACTCTCTGCTCGATGACACCTCCATTGTCTGCGTCATTTCATGCCACCTTAATGTCAATCTGTCAGTATTGGTGTATGTCTATCCTCACCACTGTGTTCCCTCCCTGTAATGAGAAGCCGTTCTCCAGTCGTCACTCTAGCACTGCAGCATGGGGGTAAGGGTAATGAATTCACCTGATCCAGAGGCATTGTCGATGAACGAGGTGGGGGAGGACAAGGAGATTGTTGTGCGACTTGCTTAGACTGTAGACGCGGAAGAGCAACAAGATCGTCAGGGGCTGCGCCTTGAGCGAGCAGGGGATATTCTTGCCGAGCCGAACACTCACGCCTGTCACGCTTGTACTTCTTGTCGAACTCTTGCTGTGACGATCAGAATACATGCAGGTGGGTAGGTCAGTATGAGACATTTCCAAGTCGATGTAGGCACTATTCTGACTCACGTTGACAGACATCAGCTCTATGAGCAGAGCAAGCACAGGAGGAAGAAGGAGAGGATGAGACAATCGGTCAGTACTGCTCTTCTCAACCCGGTAACCTCCTCCGCGCTCCGCATATCGCCGCCCCTCGTCGTCCAGGATCTCCTATGCCTCGCCGCCCTTCCTCTGATCCTTTCGAGCTCTGAGCCAAGCGCCCACTCACTGGTCTGAGTTCCGGGCTCGACATTGTTCCAGGGAGTCGGGTTGTTCTTTCGGTCCCAGACGACCGAGGGTCCTCGAGCCAGGCTGTGAAACGGGCGAGCGGGGGAAGGACAGAGCAAGGTGAGTTTCTGTCCTGAGTTTGACCGGACTGACTGCCGGAGCTGACAAGCGTCCCGCCTAAAGGCATTCTGACTGCTTACTAGGTGAGGTACCAAGTAGATCCGCACACGGCGAGACCGGTGATGACCTGTTGGAAAACAGAGGGGAAAGATTCGGATACGTTGTCAGTCTTGGCGGGCGCTTGACGTTTGCGCTATCTCGGGGCTGCCTGTGGCGAGGTTCGAGGGAACGCACATAGATGGGAAGAACCTCTGGCGAGTACCAGTTCTTCATGATGGCGCGAAAGCGAGACATGATGGGCGATGCAAAGGAGGGCGTTGTGGGTGAGGAAGCCAACTGATGGGAAGATGGTCAATATCCACTACCCTTGAATCTCGGCGCAACCGGAGGGGCCCAGTCAGTCTCCCGCTCCGCTCCGCTTCTCCTCGCTCACCCGCCTTCCCGTGCGGCGCGCACAAACAGCATTCATCCACGCCACGCGGGAAAGAGAGTTGGGCCGCGGCACGGCCCCCGCATCAGGCAGTCGTGACAGCCGGGCCTCTGTTACTTTTGAGAATAACAGAAACATCAGACGACGACGAGGAGCAGCAGCCAAGGAATATTACCATCCTGCCTTTGCCAGTCAGATTCATCATCAGCTGCGGATCACTAGCACACATCGACATCGTCCTCCTCCCTCTCATGACCCCCAGAAGCACTTAGACTCTTCCTGCCTACATCGCCTTGCTGGACCCACATACCTCTCGATGCACAAGCGCAGGTCATCGCAGCCCTTTGAAGAGTACCACGCCAACGCCTACACCAACGGCCACGACCACGACGGCGCGGCAAGCTACGGCGGCTCTGAATATCAGCCCCCTCTTCCTCCTTCCTCGTCTTCAAATCTCCCCTACCGACGCTCCTCAGGCTCGGGCAATTCACCTACCCGCTCGCGACGCTCTTCCAAGCAGTACGGTAGAGGAAGGGCATCGAGCTCTGCAATTGGGATCGACTTTGACCTAGACACCGACGACGACGCATTCGACGACTACGGACACGCCCAATCTCACGCCCAGCAAGGCATCTACCCTCCATCTCTGACCTCCAGCCGCCAGCCACAGGCTCCGTACGCCACGATGCCTTCTCCTTCCTCGTCCTCCTCTCATGTCCTTCCCTTTTCACTCTCCCGGCCGGGACGTTCGCGCGTCTCTCTCACGATGCTCCTCCTTCTTGCTTTCCTCTCTGCAGTCTTCCTCTTCTCCCTCTTCCCCGCTTCACGCGACAGAGGCAAAGCCGCTGTAGATTCCATAGGCGGATACGCGGATCATGTATGGCAAGAGTGGAAGCCGGCCGGCATCCCAGGAGTAGGAAAGAGTGGAGCAAACAGAATAAGGGAGAGGCCAGCATTGCATGAGGATCCCAAGAAGACGACGAGGTGTACGACGAGCTTCGATGGAAAGAGGAACGTGGTGCAGTATGCCATTATGATTGATGCTGGGAGCACCGGAAGCAGGGTACATGTATACAAGGTGAGCTCTGCGTAGTCGTGCAGCAGGCGTGAAAGTCGTGTAAGCCCAACTGACAGCGATTATCCCCCTTATCCTCTTCCCGGCTAGTTCAACTATTGCGATGCCCTTCCAGAGCTTGAAGATGAGGTCTTCGAGATGCTCAGACCAGGCTTGTCCAGCTTCAGGGGTGACCCAAAGGTGAGGAGAGCACGGCGGAGAAGCTGCACCCCAGAGTCATATTGACATTCTCACCATTCTCTTCTTCCCATCGTTGCTCGGCAGGCCGCTGCCGACTCGCTACGTCCTCTGCTGAAGACTTCACTCACAGCAATCCCCAAATCCCTGCAGTCTTGCACCCCCATCGCAGTCAAAGCCACCGCAGGTCTACGGCTGCTGGGCGCAACCGACTCCAAGGCCATCCTTCACGCTGTGCGCAAGATGCTCAAGGACGAATACCCCTTCCAACTTGCCGATGGAAAGACGGGCGTGGCCGAGGTAACGCATGGAGCCAATGACGATGAAGGCCGTGCGGTGGAGATCATGGAGGGCAAGGACGAGGGCGTATTTGCCTGGATCACCGTCAACTATTTGCTGGGCCTGATCGGACCACCGCTGCCTGGAGAGAATGGCTCAAAGAGGAGACGAACGGCTGCAGTGATGGATCTTGGTGGAGCCAGTACGCAGATTGTCTTTGAGCCCGATATGCAGACCGGAAGCCAGGGCATGCATCCTGGAGAACACGTCTACGAGCTGCGAGGTGAGTGTGTGCGGCTGTCGACTGTGGGCACGTGTCTCGTTGCTGATACTGTTTCTCTCTCCGCAATGCCTCTCTGACAGACTTTGGAGGTCGGGACTACACCCTCTACCAAAACTCCTACCTGGGCTACGGTCTGATGCAAGCCCGGAAATCCATCAACTCCCTCACCGCCTATGCCTACTCTTACTCGCACCCAGATGTGGTGCGTACAGGCCAGCTCTCCTCTTCGCCCAATGAGATGGAGATCCCATCTCCTTGCTTTGCGATGGGCAAGGACAAGATGACGCCCATTGCCAAAATTGGGGCAAAGGATGAGGAGATCCAGGCAAAGTTCAAGGGAACCACCGGAGGGTTCAAGGCGTGCAAGAGGTTGGTCGAGGTGATGATGGACAAAGATGCGTGAGTGGAGGGACGGCGTAGCGAGCAGTCGACTGTGCTTTCATTTGAACAAGACTGACGTGTCCTTCTCTCCTTCCTCACAGCGTATGCGCCCAGTCGCCATGCTCCTTTGCAGGCGTCTACCAGCCCTCGCTCATGTCCACCTTCCGCTCCGGAGCACCCATCGTCGCCCTCTCCTACTTCTACGACCGTCTAGCACCTCTAGGCTTCTCCTCTTCGGATGGACATTCTCTTCTCCCACCGGGATTTACCCTCCCGCAATTGGCTGCACTGGCAGAAGACGTTTGTCGTTCCCCCTCAACCTGGCCTGCCCGCTTCCCCCTCGACAAGTATCCCGAAGCACTCAAGGAGCTCTCTGATCGACCAGATACCTGTCTGGACTTGACCTATCTGCACTCCTTGCTCAGTCTTGGGTATGAGCTAGAGGATAAGGATGGGATGGGCCGACCGGGAGATCGGGACTTGAGGGTGAGGATTGAGAAGAAGCTTGCGGGCACCGAGCTTGGTTGGGCGTTGGGAGCGGCCGTGGGTATGGTGGGTGAGGTGGAAGGATGTCGACGGAGGGGCCTGTAGTGCCCTGCTGGCCGAGTGACACAAGGAAGTCTCTCAGGGCATGCCTCTCAGCAAGGGAGGATTCGTCGTTGTAAAGGTGTTGATCACGTTCGTGTTATATAAATCCATATTCTCTAGCAGTCGAGGATCTCTAGGTCATCGTCGTCTGTCCAACAAATCTTAACCAGCATTGAGAGTCCACTTGAAGAGTCGAACCAGCGTTCTCGTAACAGTGGCACTTGAGCTGATCTCGCTGCTCTGCTCCCCACTCGCACCCTTGCCGGGCTTGGTAGGAGGGAGGGTCCAGTAACCTATAGAATCACCAGGGATCAAGCGTCAGCTCTCCCGCCTCCCGTCTCCCGTGTCGCCTCCTCTCTCTCTCTCTTTCCACTTGCATCTCCACTCACGTTGCACAGTCAATACCGCCACCAATCCATCAATTTCAATCTCATGATTGATCCCATCACTCCCCCTCGGAAGCATTCCCTCGATCCACTGGACGTCTGCCTTCCATAGTCGCGAGCCGAACTTACCCCCCTCCAGGGCGGCACGAACAAGTTGGTCCCGACCAGAGTCGTACCCATTGGGTGTGATGGTGTGGTGGTGTTGTAGGTTCTGTGGGTGGGGCGGGTTGAGATGAGAGATGAGAGGAGAGGAGAGGGGGGAGCGTGAGGAGGGCAAAATCGAAATGGAAGATGTAGTGACGTACCTTTTCCGTCGAGACGGCGAGGAACCAAGCGCCGGTATTGGCTTCGGAGCCATTCTGTTTCCAAGCTGTGTGGAATCGGGGAGAGAGAATGCATGAGTAGGGGTCCTGGTCTATCTACCCTCTATTGATGCTCGACTCACCTCTGAAGTGATTCCCCCCCTCCCAGCTCTCCCAGCATGCTCCCACCCACCTCCCCGGTGCACCAAACCCGCTCGTACTCCTATACTCGTACATCTCCTCTACCCAACCTCTTCCATCACCCAAATTAGCTCGCTGTAATTCTCCAATGTGCAAATCGAGACATTCAAAGGAAAAACCAATGGAGCGAACATAGTCCCGTAGACCGACGTCGGTGAGGATGTATGGGTCGGAGTGGGAGGAGAGGATCACGTTGAGTGGTTCGCGAAGGCCGTTATTGACCAGCTGAGGTGAGGTAAGGGATGGAGTAGTGCGGTGAGAATGAATCCATCACGGACGAGGTACGGCGCTCAGCTTTGTTCACTCCTCGTTGATACGATACTGACATCGAGCATGCTGCCACCTCCCTCGCCCGGATCCCTCCACGGCATCCCGCGCTTTCGCTCCCTACGTCCAGCAGCATCGTCAGCGATCCTCGCCTGTCGTCCAGCCCTCTTCTCAGGCTCCAGATCTTCTACTGATCTGACCATGTGGTATTCTCCCCCAGCTGAATCCCTTCTCCCATCTTGCTTAGCTAGAGGTGAAGCGAGTGCCAGGAGTGGCAGGATGGAGAGGACAATTGCAAAGGCGAGGGCGGAGAGGGCGCGTATCCGTCCGTGCATGGCGACGCTGGAGAGAGAGAGAGAGAGAGTAGAAGAATGGAGACGAGGCGAGGATCAGCGCGGCCAAGATCGACGGCAGAGGGGAGGCCGGAAGGATGAAGCTGGCTGCTCTGATCAGTACAGTCCTTAGACGGACAATTGGACGTAGCTATCGCTATAGCTATAGATGGGCGGGGGTAGGTGTAAAGTAACCAAAACAGGCATTTGCCGGACGCCGACGCCGATGCCGGTGCTTCCGCCTTGCCTTGCCTCGCCCCGCCTCCACACGCCTCTTCTTCTTCCCGCACGGAGCTGCATGTACCCCGTAAGCAAGTCGAGTCGAGTAGCAGCCGTATCAGCAGCGATAGCGTCGCAAAGAGCATCGCAGACATGCTGCTGAATATCACAACACACTTTTCACTATCACGCAGCGAGCCACTTGCGATAGGAGAATGTGTGGGTGTGTTTGTTTTGATTGGAGGGGGGTACTTCAATGAGTGATGATGGATGCTATGCACAGTCTGTCGTGCAGCCAAGCAACCTACTTGCTTGCTCTCTCTGCCGCGCTTCGAACCCATACCCTTCATATGCTCCTCTTGATCGGCATACAGTAAGACCAACGATCATGCAGCAATTTGCTTCGATTGTCCTCCTGACAGGCCCAAAGCTTGTTCCACCTCATCCACAAGTGATTGTGCCTCATCCTGAAGAGTGATAAAAGGGGGAGAAGGAGGAGAGTGTCAGCTCGAGATCAGGCTATACGGGCGCTTGAATCTGGTACCGAAGCATCACAGCGCCCGCACTCGTAAACACAATTTCCTCCCCGCTCAGCACGACTTACCTCCTCCTCCATCTCGAGTTCCTCCTTGTACTCTTCAGGATGTCTCCTGAAGCAATCCTGCATTCCCTTGAACTTGCCTACACACTCTACACCCTTGGGCTCCTGTTCACTGAATACAAAGCAGCTGAAAGCTTCCTTGAATTCTTCTCCACAGGGACCCGTGGCCATACCGCCCAGACAAGGGCAGTCCCAATTGATCTGTCCCGTCGAAGGATCATAGGCCGCTTCTTGGCCCTCTCCCGGGTCCTCTTCAACAACGTCGCTGATGACATCTAGCGATGCAGAAGAATCGGGGGCATTGATCCCTTCTTGGGCAGCAACATCGGCCTCGTCTGTGCCTTCACCAGACAAGGGCGAATCTTCGCCATCGATCCCTGAAGCGGCGCTGTGGAATACCTGAACACCACCTCCTGATGCATTGGCTCTAGCGAGGGAAGCCTTGACACGTTCGGCGTAGCTCAATCTCTTACCAGAGGTGGACGAAGACGACGACGACGACGACGAGGCCTGCTGCTGCTGCTGTCCCTCGGCGGAGAGACGGTTGAAACCAAAGTAGGCGGCAGCAATGACTGAACCTGCCGCAAGGGAGATGAAGAGGGCGTTGCTGGAAGTCTTGCGAGCCTGATCAACTTGATCCTCGTGCTTGCGAGGCGATTGCTGAGGCTGCTTTCCGGGGGGTTGAGAGTCACCTCGGCGACAAGTGGTGCTGAAGGTGGAGGCGGCGGCAGGGGTAGTGGCGGCGAAGGAAGCCACGGGGACACGGCTGGCTGCTGGACGCAGAGCCGAGCGTGCTGCGGGAGCTACGGCGGTACGAAGGAGGGAAGTCATGGTGGTCGTCGTAGTGATGGGTGAGGGAGATGTGGTGGAGGGGTGTGAAGGAGGTCTGTACGACGACGAAGGATGACCAACTATGCCTCGCCTCTCTTTTCGGCGCCTCGTCGTCGCTTGGCTGCTTCCGTGTGTGCGGACCTTCGCAAGGCTCAGCGCGCCCTTCCAAGTCCTTCCTTCCGGTCCCGACTTTTCCGGCCTCGCCTCGGCAACGTGCGAGGCGAGGACGAGGCCAAGCGACTTAGCAACACAGGCAGAGAACAAGGCTGGCTCACACAAGTACACCTTGCCACTTGCACCACTACCCATCCCACTTGCCCCCGGACTTAGTACTCACTCTTACTCTCACAACATGCCTCGATCATCGTGAGTACTCCAGAAGCTTATTCCATGTCTGCGCCTCCTCCTTCGCCACAGTAGCAATTGCTGACAATTCTCTCTTCTCCTGTGTGCTTCTTGTCCCCTCCCAGTCGCAGCGGCGGCGGCGGTGGCCGACCCTCATCTCGCCCCACCTTTGGCTCCTCTTCCAGCAGCTCCACCCCTGCCGGTTCTCGCGGAGCTCACACAATGGCCGGATCTGCTCCCTCTCAGCAGCAGTCCTACAGGTCATCGCAGCCCGGCGCAGCCACTCCCGCGCACGCACAGGCTGCCCCTCAGACTACCAGCGGTGGAGGTGGTCTCTTTGGCAACATGGCCTCCACTGCGGCTGGTGTGGCAGTGGGATCTACAGTCGGGCATGGATTGAGTAACATGCTCTTTGGTGGAAGGGGAGAGACGGCACCTGTTGAGCAGCAGCAGACGACAGAATTTGCTCAGGAGCAGGCCAATGGGAACAGGATGGGCGGTGTGAACTGCGAGGCGGCTAGCAAGGGTGAGTAAAAGAAGGAGAGGTGGGATGCCTCGTTGTGATCAGAGGTAGTTGGATGCTGACATGTCCTCACTGTTTTCCTACCCCACAGACTTCCTGCGTTGCCTTGATGCTACAGGCAACAACATGGAGTCGTGCTCCTTCTACCTTGAGCAGCTCAAGCAGTGCCAGGCAGCCGCCAGCCGCTACTGAGTCAGCGAGAGGCCTTAGCATTGACATCAGAATGCCCCATCATTACCACTCAATCAATCATAGTCAGAGGAGGGTAAGGACCCCAATATCAATATAATATAAAGTCCACCACTTCAACTTCCCCCGGGTATGCCATCTGCCATTGCCATTGCATCTCAGCTGTTGAACAGTCGGCTATGGAGCGCATCATGTCTGCCCTGCACGATCTCACCCAATGGCCAGGTATTCACAGGTGGACGCAGACCTGATGGACCTTGAGGCGAAAGCGGACGATGATGGCCAGCTGAGAGCTCGTCGGCGTACCAGTCGCCCTCTTCCTCCCAATCCCATTCGAAGGCGCTCTTGTCGACCCGGGTGGAGGCAGAGGTGTTTGGGCTGCGCTCCGTATCCGTCGTGCTTGCTCGTGATTCTTCCCACCTCGCCCCCTGTTTTGCTTCACTCTTCCCCTGTTGCCCGATATCGTGCTCGCTATTCACCTCCTCCTCCAAGCTCTGAAGAATATCCTTGACGGGCCCGAGAAGCAGCCCGTGAGCAAGGTAAGGGCCGAGCGTATTGAGTCGTACCGAAGAGGAGAGGACGGAGCGTGCTTGTAGGAAGAGGTGCAGCGAGGTTGCGCTTCCTGTCAGGGGGTGAGGGAGGGGGAGGGGGCGTCGCGTCAGAGGTCGACATCTGGAAATTTCTTGCAGCTGTGAGCTGAGCGAGGCTTATCAATGAGCCCATGTCGTGTACTCACGAAGTCCTACGCCGAGACAGGCGGTGAAGACTGCCCAGCATGTGGGGAGATGGCCGTATGGCGCTCCCCCTTTCACCGATGCCAGTCTCACATGCTTCTTCAATGCCTCGATCAGGCCTGCGGCCCTTTGAGACCGAACCTCTTTGTAGACTTGGGCTGATGAGACATCCCTCTCCTCTTGGCGAGTCTCAGATGAGGGGAAGGGGACCGAGCTGAAGGAGCGTGCGTACAGAGTGAGGAGCGCGATACCTTGCGCTCTCGAAGCTCTTCTGAGCACATGGTTGAGCGAGAGGGAATGGTAGGTCTGCTCTAGGTGCGCAAGTTGTGAGAGACAGAGCTCCAGCCTCTTACGTCCCTCTGCTTCCCCGCTCTCGCCATCAGGGGAAGGGAAGTCCAAGTACCAACACGTAACGCTATGTGCCTCTCTGAGAAAGGGCAAGGCGCTACGAGCGTAGCTTCCTAGCGAGTCCTGTAGGAAGCGTAAAGTGGCTTCGGCCATCTGATCCTCCTTGCTCTTGCTCTTTCTTGCCTCAGCTGAGGGGAAGGATGAGGAAGGAGCGCTGCTGGCGGGAGGTAGATGCAGGAAGCCGTGCGAGACGTATGACTCTAGGCCCGAGGAGGCGACGAACCCTCCGGTGGGCAGATTGGAGTCGCTGAGCAGCCAGAGGAGGTAAGACTCGTCCATCGAGCTATACGAAGACTCCGCAGTCGAGTTTGATGACGATGCAAAGGCCATTGTGAGGGCTGAGGTAAGAGGGGCGGGTACGAGTCGACAAGAAGGAGGGAGTGGGATCCATTATCGATCGATCCGTGCATTTCGGAAAGCGGGGGAGCGGGTGGGGACTTGCCGCGGCTCCACTCTTGGCCCTGCAGTCCTTCTTTCCGCCGCTCGCGGGGCAGCGACGATACTCAATCGTTCAAGGCCTCAGATCAGGTCCATTCACAACAGTCCACGTCGCTTCGAGCATGTTTCCCTCTCGACTTTCTTCAGCTCATCCCTCCTCCTCAGGCTCAGGCTCAGGCGCAAGTGGGAGCACCGCCCCGCGCCCATGTCAAAAGTGTCTCTCCACCTCTCACCCAACCTGGAAGTGTCCAAATCCCTCGAATGCTCGACCCTACGTGTCGCGTCCTACCCGCAGCCAGCTCTTCAGTGATGAGAAGCTGAGGAGAAAAGAGGAAGAGAAGAGGGAGAGGGTGAGAGTACCAGAGGAGTTGGCTAGGTGAGTGAGGCGAGATGAGGGAGAGATAGAAAGGGAAGCAAGCCTGACCTGTCCAGCCCTTCTCTTGCCCATACGAACCTGCAGGAAAGGCACAGCAGACGCTATTCTCTCCTTCAAGGAAAAGTCCAGACGGCAGGAAGAAGTACAAGCCAAGAAGAAGTCTTCTTCCTCCGTCTCTACCAGCAAGGCAAAGCGCAGGAGACGCTCCCCCTCTACCTCTTCTTCCTCTGGCTCCTACTCGGACGCCTCGAGCTACTCGTCCGACTCTCGGTCTTATTCCTCTAGAAGCGAGTCTTCCTTTGACTCGAGAGATCGAAGAAGACGTAGAACAGGGGCTAGTGGAAGCCGTGGTCGCAGTGGCAGTAGGGAGATCACGCGGGATAGGAGAGCGCGACGCTCCCTGACGCCTCGTTCAGAAGGGGCCAGCTCCCGCTCTCTCTCGCGCTCCCGCTCCCGCTCTTACTCTCCCGACTCAGATACTGAGGATAGGAGAGAGCAAGATCAGGGTGAGCCGCGGCAGAGGAGTGAAGTAAGAAGACAACCCTCGAGTGAATCGGGGTCCAAGTCTCACTCTCGCTAAAGGGTAACAGTAGCCTAGGGATCAGGGGCTGAGCGGCATTGAGAAGGAGGCGAGGAGACAGATGGAAGAAGCCCTATCCTCCTCGGCTTCATGCTTGTTCTCCTTCAACTCAGATCTGAGATCTGACATGGTAGCATAGCAATCAATCCCATCCCTAGCTCATGCGCTCGCTCCTCAAAGCAAAGCAGAGCAGAGCAAGGCAGTTGGACAGTAGCAAAAGCATGATTCTTTTGGTTTTGGCTGAACATCCGAACAAGAAGACAAGACAAGACGAGTCGAAACGAAACGAAAGGAAGTATGACGAATTTCAATGTAGAGGTAGAGGAAAGCTGGGCCATCAGAACAGGGCCTGGACCTGGGACCTGGGACCTGGGACCGGGATGGGGCACAAGGATCGGCTTGGGGAGGGGGAATGAATGGTTGGGAAGTGTGGACTCAACCGAAGTGAGCGAGTGGACCAATCAATCGCTTGATGGAAGCCTGGCTGGCTGGCTGGCTGGCTGGCTAGTGAGAGGAATACCAAGGGGGGAGCGAGCGAGCTTAGGGGGGGGGAAGGGGAAGGGGGATGAGAAGTCGAGAAAAGTCGAGGCAGGATACTCGGTGCGATGAGAATCGCACGGAGCTGCCGAGAAGAGTGTCCAGAGAGGATGAAGAACCTGGCTGGCTCCTTTGCTCCTTGATGCCCGCCTAGCCCACCCCTCCTGCCTTCCCAGACGAGTATTTAATTTTGGGAAACGATATGTAGATTGTCTGCAAAAGGGCACTGCTGCACTCTCCTCGCTCTCCTCTGCTCTGCTCGCCCATCTCTTGAGGAAGTCAATCATCTCCAGCTCGTCGATTCCTCTCGCTACCCCTCTGCTTGCCAGCTTCGCCTTGCGCCTTGCGTCTTACGCCTTTTGAAACTGACTTTCCGGCCTCTACCGTGGCTGACTCCTCGCGCTCAGAACCGCTCAAGTATCTTGATCCCTCTTTGCACTCTTCTAGAAGAAGAGGTAGGTGATCGCAAAGACTCCAAAGGCAACGGCAGCGACAATGTGTACGGGTACACCCGCATCTCCAGTAGCAGTGGCCGTCTGTCCACTCTTCCTCTGCAACTCATTGACTTGAGCCTTGAGCCTCTTGACTTCACTCTGCAGCTCGCTGTTCGACTTTTCACCTAGCGGTGTTTCTTGCCTCGATGAGTCGTTTGCACCACCACCGCCCACGACGGCCGACTTGGTGGCATAGTAGGCTGCTCCTGCACCGGCTGCTGCTGCTCCACCGGCGGCGACGACTGCGTTGCGAGCCTTTTCGGTCGTGGCTCCATCGGTGTTTCCGGCGGCATTCGAGGCGGCCACGACGGGGTTGTAGGTTTCGGCCTGCGAGCTGCCATTGGGTCCTCCGCGGACAGTAGAGAACTTGTCGTCACTGCCGCCGTTGCCCTCCTCTTCTTCGGGGACGGGTGCGGTAGCAGCTGGCAGGAAGGCACATCGGATCTTCTGCTCGTGAATGGCGTTCTTGTCCTCCTTCTCCACCACGCCCCAGAGCTCCGTCAGCTGAATGTTCTCGCGGTCGGGGGTGATGATGGTGGACTGGACCAGGAACTTGTCGCGGCACTTTGCGGACATGGGAGGCTCCTCCTTCATAGCTTGCAGAAGAACTGGCAAAGGGGGCAAGAGGGCAGAGCACAGAGGGAAACGACATCAGCAAATACACTCCGAAATCTAGCTCGGAGGAGGGCTGCCACTACTCACCTTGGACCTCTACCTTCTCTCCGGGCTCGATCCTTCCGCTGTTGGGTCGTACACAGTACTGCTTGGGTGCGGTAGTCTTTACCTTGAAGGCGACGGGCTGGTTGTTAGGGTTGGACACCTGGAGGGATCGTTTGACCAGCTGGGTCAGAGGCCCTTTAGGAGAAGGGGAAGAGGCGAGAGGTGGGAGATGAGATTCAACATGTGTTCGAGTAATTGACGGGGAAGAAGCGGAGGTTGACCCTTGCTGCCCTGAGCCATCTTAGCCCAGTACACTGCATCTTGATCCTCCTCTGCCGAATTGCTATCGCTACTCACGAGGGAAGCCCAGCTGAACATGAGGGTTGAGGCTGTAGCGAGGTGGTGGGGCGCACGGTGGGAGAGAAAAAGGGCGAAGATGTGTGAGCATCCGAGTCACTGGCTAGGTGAGTGGGTAGGGTGGTGCGACGGCGGAAGCTGGGTGGAGTGGGGGAGGGCTGTGCAAGAAGGCAGTCCCTCTCCCTTCGCAGGAGCACTGATAGGAGACGAGCGAGAGGCCCTAGCAAGCGAAGGCGTTCCCGAGTTGATGTGATGCTGATGCATATACTCACTCGACCGACATGATGATGTGTGAGGAAGGTGAAGGTGGGGGTAGGCTATGAGAGAGTACGCTTTGTCTCAATCGGAAGTGTGGGTGCGGCTGTGCTGATGGATTATCGCTTTCAGCAAGAGTGGTGGGCGAGAGGTGGCAGGTGGGTGGTGGTGGTGGTGGTGCTGTTGTTGAGGTTTGACTCTGGTGGAGGTGGGTGAGTCTATCCTTTGTGGGGTGTGAGCGGTTGTTGTGCGGAAGGTGGTGTGGAAGGGTAGGATGCTCTCCAGTGGGGAAAGGGGAGGAGTGGCTGGCGGGTGAATGCTGAGGCCTGCGACGGGCGTCTGACCAGCGAGGCGCACCCAGCCGCGGGGTGATCGATCGGCAGTGGGCCTCTGCTGATGTGCCTGGGTGCGGAGAGGCAGAGGCAGGAAATGACGCACGCACGCCTCGCCTGTGTCTGCGCCTGCTTCCCTCGCCTCCCCCCACTTCCTTCCTTGTCCGTACAGGGCAGAGCGGGGAAAGCGCAAAGGGCCTCCTTCCATTCCTGTGAAACAGCACCATCCCCACCTCGGCAAGCGACAAGTGGATTGATTGATTGTTGCCTTAACACCGACTGGCCCAAGATCATCACAGTCAGCCTTACCCCGCTAGCTACTCCCTCCTTCACTCACCCGCCAGGGTCAACCTCCCACCTTGCAAAGGGCTTCGCTCTCTCGGACATCCCTCCCATCATGTCCAGGATAGGTGTGAAACGGGCCATCAACTCTTCCACCACTCGCAAGACTCGCTCATCTGGTTCACAGCAGCAGCAGGTCTCGAACACCAAAGCACCAGCATCAGCTGCGTCAGCGGCATCACTGGCAAAGAAGAGACATGAGAGCGCTAACAAAGCAAAGGCGTCCAAGGGGTCGAGGAGAGCAGCAGGACCACTCAAGGGGAAAGATGAGGATGCGAGGGCAAGAGTAGACGGGGAGCTGCAGAGATTAGCAGGTCGCGAGGGAAAGGGCATCAGAGTCGGCAAAGATGTGAGTGACGAGGCCAATCATGCTAGACGCACTCGATCCCACCCTCTTGCTGAGCTCTACTTACTGACGCTCCCCTCTTGCGCTCACCGTGATCCTTGCAGCGACCCCAAGCCGACCTCAGACAGACACAGCGACCGCGCGTGGACGCCGCCCTGACGCAGACGTTTGAAGGACTGATGAAGTAGACCCACTCACGCTAGCATTCCGAACCACATGTTTTATCAATGGCCCACTGCCCAAGTTGGCAGCGGTAGAGCAGCAGATTCTCATTATACCCTCGTCTCACTCTGTAGCATAGATCTGAATACATCCTTCCGACCCACACATCGCTATCTCTGACGCCTGCGCGACCCCTCCTTCTCCTATCTGCCTCGCAGCGTGCTGTCAACCGGCGTGAGCAGTGTCTCCTCCCTCACCATACCATCTTTGTACTGTTGTGTCCGACTGCTGCTGCCGGGTGCCCCTCCATGATCCTGATATCTGACTGCCCCACCACTGCCAATGCGCTCGGTGCCTCGCTCGCTCGCTCGCTTCAAATTCTTCCTGAGCACGGACGGACATAGGCGATCGGAGAACCAAATGAGCCTCTGTCCTAGCACGTGACCTCTCGAGGAAGCTATACCGCTGCTACTCAGTCAGAAGGCTGGTCCCGCCGCCCGCTGCCAGTCCTTCCGCCGCGCGCGCACACCCGAGGAGATTCGCCCCCCTGCCTGCCTGCCTGCCCTGCCCTGCCCTGCCCTGCCTTGCGTGCCTTTGCTCAATCGCGCCTCTTCTTCTTAGTCTTTTATCCTTTCCCTCACGTATACCTTTACATCACCCTCCTCATACATCTTCAATATGCCCAAGTTAGTATCATCGACGAGAGTACACTGCACAGACAAAGAGAGTGGTGGGATCAGATAGGGATGGAGGAACACATTTTCGTAGGGCAGGAAATAGTGGGCGTAGGGAGGGAATGGCACCCATGGCAAGGAAGAGCTGAAGTGCGAGTCCTGCAGCCGTATGGACAAGCCTGCTGTTCAACTGAGCGTTGGCAGCAGAGGGTCCAGCAGACCTCCTCACTGCTGTCGTGGCGGCGGGAAACGTCGCTCAAGTCCAGCACGACCGCTGCGACGGATGTCCTCTTCGGACGAGGCAATCTGCTCTGGGGGCCAAATCGTTGGTCGCCAAAACATTCGCTCGCCCCTTACCTAGATTCTCGGGAACTGACATTACAACCTCTCCCTTCTCCCTCTCTCCCAGCGTACGAGACGTCGACGCCGACACCTTCATCAGGGCTTACAGCCAGCACCTGAAGCGATCTGGTTAGTAGCATTACCTCTTGGAAGGAAGGATGGACGGTGGACCCGGAGCTGGGTATCGAGCGACAGGGAAGTGGAGTGAGGGGAGAGGTGCCATCCCCACCTAGGGCAGAAGACAGAGCGCTGCAAAGCAAGCAATGTCGAGGGATCCTATGCTCATGGCGTAGGATATGAGGGGCAACGCCCTCGGCCCTTTCCCCTTTTGCCTCTCGGGACACTCTCCCTCGTCGCCCCCCACCGCCACCACCATCCATCCGGGTTGAATGTTGGCCATCTCTCATCCTCGAAACGGTGACTGATGTGCATGCCCTTCCCCACCCTTTTCTCTTTACCACCACCCCTTTCAGGAAAGATCGAGGTCCCCGTCTGGGTTGACATTGTCAAGACTGGTGCCTACAAGGAGCAGGCCCCTTACGACCCCGACTGGTTCTACGTCCGTGCCGCCGCCCTCGCCCGCCACATCTACCTGCGCAAGGCCGTCGGTGTCGGTGCTCTGACCAAGCTGCACGGTGGACCCAAGAACCAGGGCCACATGCCCTCGAAGCACTCTCCCGCCTCTGGCTCCGTTCAGCGCAAGTGCCTGCAGGGTCTGGAGGGCATCGGAGTTCTCGAGAAGGACCCCAAGGGTGGCCGAAAGATCTCTCAGGACGGTATGAGGGACCTGGACCGTATCGCCATGGCCTGCCTCGAGAGCCAAAGGGAGGAGGAGGACGAGGAGGACGATGATGATGAGGACGAGGCCGAGGATGACGACGAGTAAACGTAGCCAGCAGCTCTTGCTCGCTCGCTCGCTCGCCCGGGGTCACCCGTCTGCCCTCTTTTGCACGCACCACCACATGCACATTTTCTCTCACTCTCACCTTTTTGTACACTCGACTCTCATCTTCAGCATTGATCCGTTGACCAAAATGTGACCATTGCGCTGTGCTCATCCGAAGCCAGCAATGTACAGCTACCAAGACAAAGTCGAGTGATTGCGTGGGAGATTGCCCATTGGAAGCCTGGTCGCTGGATCTTTGATGTCGATGGCAGTAGGACCCACTCGCTCGCCCCTTTCACCTGACGACCGGGACGGAGGAGCGTGGCTGCTCGCTCGCGTGGCGCAGATCAACACCGCTCACTTCCCCGCCTCCGCCCCTTCCGCTTCTCTGCCATCTTCCCGTGCTTGCTTCCTTCTCTCTCTCTCTATCTCTCTCTCACACACACATCTCAGCATACCCTCCTCCGAGTTATTGGTACCTTCAATCCCTCCTGTTCCTTCCTTTAGCTGTGGAACGGTTGCCTTGCTTTGCTGACGAAGAAGGCCTGGAAGAACCTGAACAAGGGCACGGGCACGGGCACGGGCACGGATGGTCTTTATTGTCAAGATCCCACCACGCTCACGCAGGACCACGCCCGAAGGACAGGAACAACAACAGCAGCAGCACCAGCAGCAGCAGGAAGCAATGGTAGAGGGGACCGCATCGATACCGGGGCAATGGGGTGAAGGGAGCGTCAGTCCGCCTCCTACAGCCGCACGAGTGCAAGAGCAGTCACAAGCGGTAGGGACGGGCCAACCTGCTCCTGCTCCTGCTCTCTTTGCGCCCAACCCACCTGATCAGAGTGAGGGAGCACCGCTCCGAGCGTCACAACTTCAAAACTCCCAGCCTGAGGAGCAGATGGGAAGGAGTAGCAGCATTCAAGATGCATTAGACGCTCTCTCCATGCTGAGTATCGGCGCAGGTGCAACGGCTGCTACCCAGGCCGTAGAGATGCAGCCCGATCGCGAGAGGTCGCCTGCTGCTTTGGCGTATCCTGCTCTTCCAGTCCAAGAAGTCCAGAAAGAATCTCAGCAGGTCGAAGTGCAGCGAGAATCTCAGCAGGTCGAAGTCCAGCAAACACACCAAGACGCCCCTGCCCTTACGACACCTGTCGATCAGCTGAAGGCAGCCCCTCTACTCGATATCATCGTCGCACCTGCAGTCCTCGCCCACCGCTACATCAGAGGTAGGGATGTATCCCTCATCGTTGAGAGGCCAGAGAGGGTGAGGGCGGTATTGCTTGGCGTGTCTGCACTACTTGGAAGGATGGCCGAAGACAACGAGAACAGGGCGTCCTCCTCGGCGCGGACAGCCGCCGCTGGTAACGACGCGGACGATTTGATCTCGCAATTACAGGGCATGAGCATGGCTGGTCAGAGAGGTAATGCTTCTCTCGCAGGATCACCTCAGGTTCAGGTCCTCCACTCTACGAAGAGCGTACCTCTTTACCCTGCTCATCCTGCGCTGGCTGTTGTGCACGCCCATCAGGAAGAGATGGTGGACGATATTCTGCCCGAATGCGAGGAGAAACGGCGGCGCAAGGGCAAGCCAGCTGAAGCAGCAGACGGAGGAGCCGGCCAGCAAGAGGAGAACCAAGCTGCCCCTTCTACTCTCTACTCATCGTACATCTCTCAGTTGTGCTCCTATGCGCCTCACTCCGCTCCGTTACCGCCACAACCAGTCCCAAGGCGTACACGGGAAGCAGTCTCGGCTACTGCAACACCTACTGGGCTAGGAAGGACGAGGAGGGCAACGCGGCAGGCGTCTCCTGGCCCGGCGTCTTCTACTGCTACTCCACTGCAGAAGCGGGAAGAAGACATCAGAGCTCCGTTTGCCCAGGCTGTACCGACGATCAAGCAAGAGGCAGACATAGCAGGGCCCATGCCAGGAGCGCCGGGGCCCCAGACGCCTGCTGAAGAGAAGAGGGAGCCAGTGAGCTTTGCTCTGCCACCTACTACGCCAGGGCAAAAGCTGGACACTTCGACCAAGGAGGAAAGCAGTAGTAGCAGTAGCAGCAGCGACGACGAGACTGATCAACACGCGAGCGAAGTGCCCTACCACCTCTCGCAAGGTGATCTCTACTTGCGTGGGAGCAAATCAAAGGGTCTAGAAGATGAGCTGGCCGGCTATGGTTCTGCAGAGGCTATCCAGCATGCTCTTGCTGCCAGTATCGAGGCAGTCGACCGGGTCTGTGCTGCCGCTGACCAGTCATCACTAAGCAAGCATAACGGTCACGCTTCTAGAGGCTCAGTCTCGCCCCTCGACTTCTCATCCATCCACGGAGGTCCCTCATCTTCCTCTTCGTCGGCACCTCTCCCTTCCAGGCGGGCCTTTGTTCTCACCCGCCCACCAGGCCATCACTGCTCCGGCTCTGCCCCCTCGGGCTTCTGCTGGGTGAACAATGCCGCCGTGGCGGCGGTGCACGCTTATCAGGCACACGGTGTAGATCGTGTGGTGATTTTCGACATCGACCTTCACCATGGCAATGGCACGCAGAAGATCGCGTGGAGGATCAACGAGGAGACACGAAGAGTAGATCTGGAGAGAGCAGCGAGGATCAAAGCTGCTGCTTCGTCTCTGGCGGGGCGGAGTGGAAGTGGTAGGGGCAGGGGTCCTCGCAAGTCTGGTGGCGGCGGAGGCGGGGGAGGAATCGTAGATGTAGAAGCTGGTATACCCCCTCGCGGCTTGCAGGTATTCTACAGCAGTCTGCATGACATTGAGAGTTTCCCTTGCGAGGATGGAGATGCGGAGCTGGTGAGGGATGCCAGCGTATGTATTCAGGGCGCTCACGGGCAGTGGATCTGGAATGGTGAGTAAGGCCGAGCATTGGCCGAGCAGGGTTTGGCCAGATTGCGAGCATTATCACTGACAGGCAATTCCTCCTTCTTACTGGCAGTCCACCTAGACAAATACGACTCACCCTCCTCCTTCGATGAGCTCTATCGCACAAAGTACTCGCAGCTCTTCACCCAAGCCCGCAACTTCCTAGAGAGCACCGGCTCCACCCCTTCCAATACCCTCGTGCTCATCTCCTGCGGATTCGATGCCTGCTCGTACGAGCTACAAGGTATGCAGCGCCATGGGAAGCATGTCCCGCCGGGATTCTACGAGCGCTTTGCCAGAGATGCGGTGCAGCTGAGTGAGGAGATGGCGGGGGGCAAGGTGGTCAGTCTGCTTGAGGGAGGGTATGGCGATCGAGCTCTCTGCAGTGCCTCAATTGCGCATATGAAGGGGCTCGCGACGCCTCCTCGGTCTTCAGATGGCATGAGTGAGACGCAGTCTCGATCGATGAGCGAGGTACAAGCACCGATGGCTACGACCAGTCGCCACTACTCGTCAGTGGGAAGCGCAATGGACCCCTATGCCCACCAGTGGTTCTCCCTCGAAGCGCTCAAGGCTCTCGAGAAGACAATGGCGACTGTTTTGCGTAGTCGAGCGCAAGCTCGGACTGCTGCTGCATCGGGGTTACTGTACCCGAATGGTCTCACTTCTGGAGCTGGAGCGGGAATTAGTCCCACCAAGAGACGTGGTGGAGCAGCAGCAGCAGCAGCAGGTCAGCACGCCCTTTCTGTGGGGAGCGCCGGGTCCTCTACTACCGGACAAGACTGGCTCGCCCGTGCAACGGCGCACTTTACTGCTTTTGAAGAGTTGTGCGAGCCTCTGATGTATGTCGCTCCTGCGCGAGCTGTGGGTGGATCTGCGGGAGCGGGAGCAGGGACGGGGAGAGGCGCTGCTGGAAGGGGATACTAGAAGGTCTTGCTGTCGTCGCCAAGTGGTAGATCAGGGAGAGGTAGAATACCCATGCACTAGATTGCCTATACCATCCTCTTTTGGATCCAGCTGTACGCTCGACTGGATGGTCAGGTGGGTATAGGCTGCCTTGAATTAGTAAGCACGTGGCCTCGGCCGACAGGAAGTGGTGGTAGACTGGGGCCGATAGAGTCGAGACTTTGGCGTGGCGCATCATCGCCCCCTTGCCGCTGCCCTCCACGCAAGGACAATCTCTTGACCCATTGCTTGCTCAGAATCATTCTTCACCTTTCCATTCGACTCGATACCATCGTCGCCAATCGTCTCAACCATTGACGTACACCTGGACAAGTGGCCTGCTGCCATCCTCGCCCACAATTCCCGCCCAGCTGTGTGGGCTGTGTGGCTGTGAGCTACTGCTGCTGACGCTGACGCCCCCACGAGGCGCCGATTGAAGCGAGCTCTATTTCCGGCACATCCTCCTCGCCTCCCCGCGCCTTCGCCCTCTCTCTTCCTCCTCCTCTTGATCCTCGTTGGCCTCGTGTCGCTCTTGTCTTCCGACCAGTAAGAGCTTCATCACACCTTGGGGCCAAGGCAGTCAAGACTGGGAGCAGTACTGCCACACCCACATCCATCACGGCGTTGCACAAGCCTCGAGACGGGTTGGCAGCCGTGCCTTCCACCCTCGGCGCCCTCGCCGCCCAGATCCCACGAGGATGTCGGCAAACTATCCTCCCAATGCTGCTCCTTCTTCGTCGTCCTCTTCCTCCTTCAGCGGCCACAGGCGTCACCCTTCTCGTGATACAGGCTCAGAAGCACTCCTCTTACCACCCTCCCAACCACTAGGAGGAGCAGCCTGGACCAACAATGGCCTCACCCCTGCATTCGAGCTGCATGATGATCCCCTCGCCGTACCCCACACTACCATCTCTCTGCAGCCTACTCCTCCACGGCAGAGGATAGGCCACCAGCATCAAGCTTCTACGGCGATCACTCTAGCAGAGGCCATTGCAGAGGCAGAGGAACAGTCTACAAAGAGACTAGAACGGAGCGACAGTGGCAGCCAGAGGGGCAGGGGAGGGGCGCCCTCTGCACTGCCAAGGATGGAAGCAGAGCGAAGTGCAAATAACTTAAAGGCGATGCAGCATCTCGGCAGTTGGGCAAGAGATGCCTCCAATGAGCGTCATCGTTCCATCAGCCCGAGCATGACGGGCGATCGTGGACACACTACGCACTCGAGAGTGAACTCGCCCTCGATCGATATACATCGGAGAGCTATCACGCCCTCCCCGGCTAGCTCTTCGCCCACTCGAGAACAGCACGAGTTCCAGCGGTATACACCATCGGGTCGAATGGGCAGTATGCAGCGAAATGGGCTGGACGCCTTGCGCTCTCCCAGCGCAAGAGCTTCGCCTGTCCTCTTCAAGTCTGCCAGCCGAGCTGGTCACGGGGATCCTTACCCAGGGAGCATCACTGGCGGCCGATTGTACGACGATGACGATGCGGAGGATGACGAGGAAGCCGGAAAAGGCCATGGAAAAGGAGGTGGTGCGCCGCTGCCGCGAAGAAAGAGCACAGGTGCTAATGGCCTGGCTGTGAGCAAAGCCTCGGCGAATGAAGCTAGACCAGTCAGTCGAGCGAAAGCGATAGAGGATGCTCGCAATGGAGATGGGCGCAGTACACCAGCGCAATATCGCCCTCTAAAGCAGCCGCTCAAGGCGAATAGCACCCCAGCGCAGTACATCAGTCATGCGAGTCAGAATGGCCGGACTTCGTCGTCGTCACAGCATTCGTACGTTGCGATGGACCGGCATTCAGGAAGCACGTCTCCCCTCATCATCCCACAAGCGCGGAGGGGAGCTATCAATTTGAAGACGAAGCGTTGTCGTCGAAGAGGAGGACTGAAGTGCAGGAGGCGAGCCATCGAGCCTTCACGGCCCTTTTGGGAGTCACTAGGGCTGCTCCTGAGAAGGATAGTATGGCATGTTGCCCATCCTGTCCTCAGCGTTCAATTGAGCCAGAAGTATGTCTCGCAGACCATCTGCGATACTGATAAAGCCTTCCGCGATCCCTTTACCGGCCAACGAGTCTGGTGGCCCGAATGGCTCGAAGGGTACATCCCACTGCTGATATGGCTCGTGATATCGCTCAGCAGCACCATCACCGTTCTCACCTTTCACACACAAGTCTTCAAAGGTCTAGATGAGCTCTCGAGGACTCTGCAGCATATGGGCCTGGCAGGCAAAGTCTCCATCGGCGGTCTGATCTTCCTGACCACCTTCCCACCGCTGCCCCTGTACTCGACCTTGATCGTCCTCTGCGGCTTCTCCTTTGGTCTCTGGCAAGGCTTCGTCATCAGCTACATTGCCGCACTATCAGGCGCCATCGTAGTCTACCTACTCAGCAAGTCCCTGCTCAGGAAATGGATGGACAAGCTCATGGCTAAGTCAGGTGGATTGAAGAAGGTCGTCAAGGCCATTGAGAAGCGGCCGAAGCTGCTCTTCTTGATCCGCCTCGCGCCCTACCCTTACAACCTCATGAACACTCTCCTAGCGTCGAGCCCCACACTCACCTTCAAGACTTATTTTCTCTGCACGGCCCTCGCTCTGCCCAAGTTGCTAGTGCACTGCGGTCTCGGCGCCTCGATCAAGAACTTTGCCGCCTACCACGGCGAAGGAGGCGAGACCACTGATTCCAGTCATGGCCAGGGTGGTCAAACTTCTTCCGGAGGCGGTACAAGCACAGCAGAGACGGCCAAGCGCATTGCGGGCTTCGTGGGCGTGGGGCTGTGCATTGGAATCTTCATCTACCTCCTCTCTGTTGCGCGCAAGGCGGTAGATGAGGAGCTGGATAGTGATGCTGAGAGTGGAGAGTATGACGAGCTGGATGAAGGGGAGGAAGAAGAGGAGGCGGAGGCAGAGGACGAGTTGGATGACGGAGATGTCTCTGATGACGGAGATGACGGCCGACTGCTTTCCAGTGTGCAGTCTCTGTACCACGATGGCGGAAGCAGCGGCAGCATCAACGGCAACGTCTTCGAATCCGTCTCGCCCTTCAAGCTACAAGCCGCTCCACTTGGTCCGCAAGGCATCATCACCACCACCGTTCCAGCAAGTCACGTCCAAGCACCCTTGTACGAAGTGCCAGCAGACGCCGTCGCCTTTCGCATCGCCTCTCCCGAGTCCCTGGAGATGAGCAGCGTATACACCAGCAGCACCTCGCCTGCTTTCAACCTCAGCGGTCGCGGGCGCGGCGTCTCGGGGGGACGAGCGGGGGGTGATCAACCCTACCGGCTCAATAGCAATGGTGCCAAGAGCCCCTTTGACCTGCTTGGCGGCGGCGGCGGCAGCGGCGGCGGACCTGGGAGGGACGCTTCGTCGGCGGCGGGCGTCGCTCTAGCCAGGGGCGAAGATGGACCGCACGAGAGCAGTGGTCAGAGGTGCGAGATTGACTTCTTGGAGGAAGAAGCCGAGAGGAGTTTCGCTTCGGCCAAGGCTTGCCTGGGTAGAGAGGACTAATCGCGACCTAATCGCGACCCTGACTTCGGGAGGGCTGATGGGTGGGACGATGGGCGGGAGAGAGCAAGCAAGAGAGAGGAGAGGAGAGGAGAGGAGAGGAGAGGAGAGGAGAGGAGAGG